GTATAGAGAGCGGCGGTCGCAATAGCGGAGCGAGTGCGCGGCAGGCGAGGGAGAGAGTGATGTCAGCACGCACTCAGAGGAGTGTGATGCCACTCGTACAGAGAGACAGCGTTACACAGGCTAGTCAAAGAGCTGCTTCACATCTAAAAAGGTGCCCTTGGTTCTTATGATGTTTGTTTGCAGAGCAAGGCCCACTGCATTTTTCAAGATTAAGCCAGGTTTTATATGAAGGATAAATATAAGGAGCTCTTTCAGTACTACGGCTTATCTACTAATAATCTCACTGTACAGCTCAACGATTCAGCATTATAACGGCAAGGCAGCTTCATGAGTATGCACATGAATTATTATGTATTAGGAACAAATAACAAGCTGATGGCACGGTATTGCTACCACCACCACTCTGGCTGTTTCACAGCTATTTTTAAGATAAAATTCAGAAGGTTAGTGATATTAACAACAAAGCAACATTTAAAACAACATTTTACGAGTTCCACACAGAAAAAAACGCACTATTTCTCCAGCTTTTTGCTCGTGCTTAAAGAGATAATGAACAAACTTTTTGCCACCAAGATTTTTAGCCAAATTGAAAGACTAGGCACTGAAATCGATAGACACCTTTCGCGGAGGTAAATATTAATTTTAATGCGCTCCTCACAAACTTCCACGTCTAGCGGCCGTGCAGTGCACTAAAGGAGGCAACATTTTGGTAAGTTTCATATGCTGCAAATGGGCCTGCAAACAATGCGAGCCGTCGCCCCCGTCTCTTAGCTAACCGAACTCCAACTACTGTTTCGGAACCACTGCAAATGGCACTGACAGGCAACAGCACTTCACTAAATAATGGGGAATGCCTCAGCACCTTTGTGGAATGGTGAAGTGTGATGTAAAAGATAGTGAGAAGGGAAGATGAGGACATTAACTCGTACACCCAGCACGCTCGGCTGCCATCATGATGGCACGGCTCGCGCTGGCGTGCCACCAAAAATACAGCCAAATGTCCGAAACTAGGTGAAATAAATTGTGTTCATCAAAAGAGTCACTACTTCCAAGTAAAATTTCGATGTTTCTGTCAGTTTTTCCGATTACCATTCAGTATCCCTTTTTTTTCCGATTACCATTCAGTATTCCTTTGAAAATGATCGAGCTTTGCATTTTGGCTCCTCTAGATCTGCATTAATAAAAAACTACACTTTTTATGAATTCTAATATTTTTATTGTAGTTATACCCCTGTCACACGGGCACTTAAAAGTCTTTTAAGTAAGCGGTCTTTTTCCGAAAAGGAGTTCCTGACAGCAGACACACGGCACAGAGCGAACTCATTTTCAGAAGCGGTCTTTTTCGTAAACGGCGTTCGTCGATCTCTTTTACGGCTCCGAATGAGTAGCCTCGAAACCAGTGGGCGCCAGCAATTTTCGAGTGGTGGGAAAAAAAGAGCGAATGCTTATTTTTCTGTCATCAAAACTCTTTGTAAAAACAAATTTCATATCCTGCAGAAGGTGTAATGAACTCTTTTAATGGTTATTTCCTTTTCTACTCTCGTAAGCAGCTACAACGCGTCGGCAATATCAAGTGGTGACGCTCGGTCTTGCGCTGATTTATCCTCTCCTTGGCGGCTTTTGCAGCGTCTGCGTCGCTTTCCAGAGCGAGAAGGCAGGCCGTGAGGCTTGCGATCCTCGCTTTTTTTCCCGTACGGTCGCCCATAACGTGTCGAGAGCAGTCGATAGCAGCGAAAAACAAATACGGTAAATAAAAGCACAGTGGTGCCAGACGGACTTGTGCACGTCGCTAGTTATGGGAATGCTTCCTTATCTAGTGCAAAAAACATTCACATTCGTGTTTCTTCATCTCTTATTCTTAAATTTATTTGAAGAAACGAGCAGTGCAACAAGTCTTTAATTTGTACATCGTGATACATCGTTTAATTTTCATTGCTTCTCTTTTAACTGCTAGCGCCACGCTTTCGCTAGCGTCTTCGAACGAAAACACTAAAAGGAGATCGTTGCTGCCGTGTGTCTGCGCCGCAAACACCTCTTTGTTAAAAGTCTTTCAACTTCGTAAAAGACCGCTTACTTAAAAGACTTTTTGCGCGCCCGTGTGACACAGGTATTAGCTATTCAACTTCTCTGTACACAAGTTCGAGTCAGTGGGCAACAAAGATATATATATATTTTTTTCCTTGGACACTTATAGTTTTTTATGTGCCTTTTTTGGCTAGTCACCTTTGACAAGGATAGAATGACAGGCATCGAGAGTCATTTCATCAAGTGAAGCAAGGACCAGGAACATAACATAGCGAACAAATTTTCATGTACAACTGGCTTTGTTTTAACAGCGCAGCAGAAGTACAAAAACTGATGCCATCTCCAGCTACAGCGGTATCACATGGCTAACACACAAGGAATGTAACGCTCGCTGCAGCTACATACCTGGTGAGAATGGTATGCTCAAGTTCTACACGAAGCCATGGGCAGCCTGAGACAAAGCTGCTTTTCAGGGTTCTTCGAGGTGTTGCCCACAGTCACCAAACTTACTTCTAGAGAAGTATCCACAAAGCATTTTTTTTTTCATGCGATGATATGTAGCAAACCCCCCAATCATCCCCTCCATTCTATAAAGAGTAAAGCTGTGCAAATATTCAAAATTTCGAATATTTTCCTAATAGTGTTCTTTATTCGATTCAAATTGCCCTGCAATTTTACTATTCGAAGCAATTCGAACGTCCCAAAGACAAATACAGTCAATGTCAAATTGACAATGACCCCTTCAAATTTTTTATTATGCTTCACCCCACCACACTCTCGTGATGCGGCAAAGCTGCCTTTCAACCTCTGCTACATTCGCAAGTGCGTTAAAAAAAACAAAAAAACTCTGGTTCCAACACGGAGATGATAAATGTGCCATAGCTGGGGGCTCAAATAATGCTCCTTTGGTCCTGAAATATGAGTAGGATGTATGAAATATCACGTGCCAAAGAGTTTTAGCATCCAAAATTTCAGATGTTCTGATACATCTACAGGAGACATTTGGCACTTCCGCCTCAAAACGAGCGCACCCTTATCCACCGCAACAGTTGCGCTTCCAGAGAAATTGAAAAAAGGGGAGAGGCTGAAGTAAATAGCATCTCTGCCATTCCTGTGTAAATTGCTGTTGGAGACACTTTAGTTGTGCCAAATCATGTACATAAATGCAATATGGCCTCTGCATTGCATCATTCTTGATAAGATAGCTATGAAACACCAACTCACCAGCACTTCATCACCCTAGCCAGAATGTTGCTATTTTATAAGAATGTGCTTGAGAATCCTCTCCAGCTTTTTTTTTTTTCTTCTGCAGTTTCATTTCGAAGTATTAGAAAAATATCCGATTTTATTTGCACTCACACTTCAATATTCAAGTTTGCTTCGCATCCAAATATTACTACACTCAAGCCTCGTCATAAAGTAACAGGATATAACAAAATAATGGATATAAGGAAGTAAATGAAATTCCACTTGAAAGCTCCATTGAGAACCATGTGTTTTAAACCTCGTTGTAATGAAGTAAAATTGACCGGTAAATGGATATAACAAAAAAATTAGTCTATCAAATAGTCTATAAAAAAAAGACTGTAGTGTGTTAAGTATATTGTTTTCTGCGGAGTTTGACGCTCATTCGGTGCGGCTCTTTCAAAACTCCTGCGCCGACCTTACAGCCACGCCACGCACGGCCGAGAGAGCTGTTCTCCTTACACAGCCAGCGGAGAGGATTGAGGAAGCACTCAGCGGCTCACATGACGAAGAAGCGGTGGCGCAGTGCAAAGTGATTTCTCTTTCACTTGCGTGACTTAAAGACAACGGCAATGACTGCATCTCCGCTGCTACCCTCCACACCGAGAAAGGAGGACTCTCCGCGACAGTTTTCTTTTTTTCCTCTCTCTCCGCACGCGCGGCCTTGAAAGGAGAAGGGTCTCTTCGTGAAGAGACAGAAAAGGGCAAAGCGTGGCACAGGCGCGTCGCAGGTCGACATTTGAGAGAGATCAAACAATCCGCCACAGTCTTTTCTTTCCTTTTCTTTTTTTCCTTCTCCGCGCACAGCAATGAGAGGTGCCGCTGTGGAATTGGACATGGTACTGAGAGCATTTTCGGAGCGCGGCATGTTCGAATTAAAGTGCTTGCACATTCGAATTACAGGGCGTTTTCACCCATTAGAATACACATAGCTTTGACGGGACCTCAGCTTGAGTTCAAATTAACCGGAAGTTTGAATTAAGCGTGTTTGAATTGATGAGATTCGACTGTGTTTATTTTCCATCGCACGCGTGGCCACGTAGCGGTACATCAGGCCGCGAGGCGGTTTCTTTCTTAGCATGCTTATAGGTGTGTGCCCATCTGAGCATACATTGCCACAAACTGTTATAATCGATATTGTTGCGACATGAAAATAACAGGACACGGGACGCGGGTGCGACCAGGAAAAACAAGGTCTCTATTAACAGAACAAAAGAGCAGCCGCTTCGACGTCGTCTTTCTCGGAGCAACCGTGGGTGCTGTCCACGCTCATCACTTTCGTGGTCCTCTTGCCCGGCCTTTAGTCATGACAATATAATGAAATAATGGACATAACGAAATGATTGTGGGTTCTTTTCAACTTCGTTATAACGAGATATGAGAGTATTAGCACAGCTCTAATAAACAGCTTTGTCCTGGCACACCCGCTTATTACTTATTAAATGTCTCCTAAGGTTGCTTTATTACAGATAATGTCACCTACTGTTGGCAATACATTATAGAAACAGAAACACTTTTTTTTTCTTTCAACCAATTTCAATTTAATGATTGTGGATGTATGGTGACAGCTGGAGTTAATTCTGTCCCATAGAGTTAATTCTGTCCCAAGTTATGTGTCCAATGAATATTCTAAATCTAAGTGCATTTCGTACATTATGACAGCACTGCTCTACAGGTACTTCCTCGCTTTGCTTGTAAAGGGGTTGAGGAGCCGATGCTTCAATACTCACGGTTCCTTCTTCATCAGAAGCACTCCGTTCGTGCGCGGGCACAGGCTGCAACGCCAGTTGCTGCTCCGGTTGCTGCTCACTCGGTAAAGCCGCCGCCGCAGTTTCTGCCTGTGGCTCAGTCGTTTTCTTCGACTTCAGTGTCCGGGTTATCCGGCTCTGAGCGGACTTCTGCAGCAATTCGACAAAGGCACCACCCACTCAGAACGACAGAAATTTGAGCCAGTCTATAGGAATTGATCATGAGAGAAGGCAAGGAACGCAGGTATGGCAACAAAATAACAGTTGGATTTTAACCCTGGCCCTCTGCATGGGCCTATGAGCTGAAAAAGAAAAACACGGTACCTGTGTCATCTTGGGAGCCTGTACCTTACGACTTGATACGGAATACAATTTCGCTTGCTCCGTGTTGCCACAGTTTGGGCCGCGCAGAAATCAGTAACAGAAATGATTGATTGATATGTGGGGTTTAACGTCCCAAAACCACCATATGATTATGAGAGACGCCGTAATGGAGGGCTCCGAAAATTTCGATCACCTGGGGTTCTTTAACGTGCACCCAAATCTGAGCACACGGGCCTACAACATTTCCGCCTCCATCGGAAATGCAGCCGCCGCAGCCGGGATTCGAACCCGCGACCTGCGGGTCAGCAGCCGAGTACCTTAGCCACTAGACCACCGCGGCGGGGCATCAGTAACAGAAATCAGTGACGGCCTATTTGAAAAGAGCTGCATCAACATTATTTGCATTTGTCAAAACAAACAGCAGACTAATCTAACACGTAATCAGTTACTCAAAGCAGCAATCATAATGATGTGAAAAAAAGCTACACCACTAAGAAAGAAAGAGTTGAAAAACAGGCCACAGTTGAAATCACCTGACGACACGCTTTGGTCATCTTCATTTTCATCAGGTGGCTCGTCACCACGGTCAGTCCACACTTCGACCACGCTAGAGACGTCGAGCTGTTCGGCTTCTGAGAGCACTTGAACGGACGAGGAGTCGGAGTCGCCTAAGTCTTCCTGCAAAATGGCAACAATCAGTGGTATTCACGCACGGTCTAGTAGTACACAGGTGAGCGACAGATTCAAATTCACTCTGAAAGACTTTTCAAGCTTACTAAAAAATTCCGGTCATACAGACAAGGCTCCTGCAAACATCGGAGCCTAATATCGCACTTCATTTAGCGGGAAAGCCAGACTACTGTGCGAAGATCAACTTTCACTTCTTTGATTACGATGCACCATCATCGGCCCGCAGCTACGAAACTTGCGTATTTTGAATTCTACCATTGCTATTCCAGGGGAAAGTTTAAGGAGCGTATGAGAGGGAAATGATGCAACAGAAAAAGCTGAGTGTCAATTGCAGTGAGAGTCAGTCGGCCCGCATGACTGTGACGGTGACAAACGCTTTTTACTCACATCCTAATAGAAGTGCTTCACTACTGCGCTGCATAACGAGGTAAATTCTGCATTCCTTTTCCTTCAGAGGGTCTGTGCTCGGCTAGCATCACTACACCACACACCACTCTGCTCCAGTAAGCTATGCACGCTAACGAACCACTGTGCTTAGCTACCAGTTGGATAGCAATGGGAGAACTCGAAATATGCCGGAGACACAAGCAGGCCCTACGAGCACTGGCCGATTTCTTGATTGTTATTAAGCTTGTTGTAGTAATCTTAGTGCCAACTTTTAGTCGCATAATCAGGAATTGGACATTTCCTCAATACCACAAAGACCAAAAGGTATCTCACCATAAGCCTTCCAGTCTCTACAGACAGATGACCGCCAAGTGTTTCATTTCTTTCTACATCACGTACAGTGGCAGCCGGCGTACTAGATGCACACTCAAGTAATGCATGCCTGAGTCATTTAACTTGTAAAAACGCCAAGCATGCACGGAGAGCACAGCACAGTCACAGCGAAAGCTGGAAGAGCACCATTTCTAGAAACTATTGCAAACTCTCTAGGGGTTACTACTAATACAAGTACGCTTGCAAGGTACCCAGTACTCCATTGATTGATTTGGTGGTCGATGAAGATGAAGAACAAGGGCTGTGCCCTTTGCAATGCGCTGGAAGCATTCAACACCCCACTTGTAATGCAGTTCATATTGTGTGACGCCTGGTCGTTATCTTATTCTTCTGCCATGTTATATTGCATATGTTAACATGGTTTCTTCCCAACATGACACTTGTATAGGGTTTTTTGGCACAGGAATTTCAACATAAGCATGGCTCAGAGGTAGAATACTAGGCTGGCACGAAGAAGACCCAGGTTAAAACTCCATGCAATCCTGGATATTTTTTTTTCTGATTTCGGTTTTTTTTTTTTTAGTAATTAGTGCAATATCTCTTACGAACACCAGTGGACAACTACAGCCCCCTTGTTGTGATCTCATACCAGCGTTCACTGTTTGTTTCAAGTCTAAACTCAGCTTAAGCTCAGCACAAATGTATGCTCCACCCACAAAAACCACGTGCGCATGCCGTGCGCATGCCGTTCACATGCGAAGGGTAGTTATGCTGGCTGGTTTACCCTTGAATCGTAAGCACTTTTTCTCGACTGATTTTGATTTAGATACGCACTGTAATGGTGTTTATTGAACGCTGGCATAAGAGTCAACTGGTGGCTCAATCAACGTCTGAAGTCACAGACACCATGAGAGAGGGCAGCGCGATAGCAATGCGCGGTAGAGGCTGACCCACTAAATGCCACTGGAGAGGGTGCTCCACTATAGCATTCCTCTTCGCTACAGCATACGAAGAATTAAAGATCGATCATTACTCTTTCGAACATTACGTTTGGCTGAGAACCAATGTCAATAACGCTGACAAAATTTGCTAGGGCATTCAAGTTTCCAAACTAAGACCAACGTTGAAGAGCACTAACAGACAACACGCAAAGTTTCCCTTCGTATGTTCAACCTGCGACAACCAGAAACTAATATGTGCCTCTACATATGGAAAAGCGAACTATCTGAAACAATCACTCGCTCGATGTCGTGCAATAAAGTTCTGCTTGATGGAGCATTAAAGGAACACTAAAGTGAAACACTGAAATGGTTTAGATTGATAAAGTGTTCTTCGGGAACTCTAATCTCATTAATATTACACCATCAGAAGCTTATTCATAGAGGATGAAATTAACATCCAAATACTATTTCTAAATTTCGTGCCGAAACTTGAGTTCATGACGTAACGAATTTCAAAACGTATTTGTCAAAATTTGTCGGCATTGGCTCGATAGAATTTCCCAAAATTTGATAACCTCTGGCTTCATCAGCAGACATTGTGCTTCATTATTACCTATTAGGAGCTACGTAGGCCTTAGTAAATACCGCCAGAATTTATGACATCACACAGTTTACTGCAGGAATTTCATGATGGCAATGCCACCCGCATTGTCTCTATGGACGTTTTCTTGCTTACCGAACATCTTCTCATGGCGAATGCGGTGATTTCTGAATTGTGAAAAGGTAATTTACTATTATTAAGAAAAAAGTTTTCCTCCTTAGTGTCCCTTTAATACAATTTCTCTCCGAGGGAGGGACAGTCATGGCTGTGGGCAGAGCTGGTACTTTTTCTCGGTTTCTAACTGCCTATATAGATATTGCAAGACGGCACCACCGCACTATCAAAGATGAATGTTTTCACTTTTTAAGGCGAAATCCTTAGATACTTCACCAATTGAGAAAACTGACCAAAGTCCCACATCGGCAGGCGTCAACCCGAACGATGCAAAATATAATCAGATGATGACGCGGCCATACAACGTCATAATGACCTTACGGAGCGCTAAAATTTGTGACGTAATCATGACATCGCTATAATGTCAGGTAACGTCACATCACCTACCCCATGGTGACGTTATCACAACATCATTGCTTGCTCAAAAGTGGGTCATTCCCGATGGAAGTGCAAAACAAGATGGAAGGCAAGAAGCTTGCAATGCCTGCTATCCTGAAGGCATCGCAAAAACACGTTAGTTGCAGAAAGACTTCAGAGGGGGCAATGGAGGTTCCAATACGGCAGCTTTTAAGAAAAAGAAGGAGAATATGAATTTCACCTTCGAGATGAATGCATCAGGCGGGTGCATAAGGAACACCATCAGTTTCTTCCTACCATTGGTGAAATACGACGCAGTCGCACCACCAAAACAGCAAAATTGTTTCTGCAACTAGCACATTCCGCACTTACGAGGTCGCTCATGTTGCCGACGCCCACTTGCAGGTGGATGAGATTGGAGCTGTCGGTCGTGTATTCTTCGGAGTCGGAGAAGAGGTCCTGGTCGTTGTCCGACAAATCTGTGCTGCTGTCCTGCTCGTTGCTCACTGTTCTATCACTGTCCGAGATCGACGCATCTGTGTTCCACTGGCTGCCCTCATCCTCAGGAGTCGCCGGGGAGCTCCACAACGGACATCTCAATGTCAGAGGACCTGCGTTAAGAGAAAAAAACTGCGACACACTTCACAGTGTACTCCAAAGAGGCATCAGCAATGACAGCATACTTTTTACGACTTTGGCAGTACCATTTATAGTCGAATACAACTTCAGAAGTCTACAGCAATTTCTCCTCAAAGGCAGATGCACACAAGCCTGCAGCAATGGGCGTGTACTCCCGACTGACGTGATAAGCCATACGGCTGGGGATTCAGCCTTCAGAAAGCAATGCCACAGTGCATGAGCTGGGCCACTACTTTAGTGGCAGGGACAATTGACTGCAAAGCTTCAGTAGTCTGGGTGATCCTCTATGCACTTTTTAAAGGGCCAGTAAACAACCAAGAGGTGCAAAAATTGTTATAAATTATATGTGCACTATTGCTTTGTGTACATGCTGCCACAAGAATTTCGCTAATATGTGATATATTAAGAAAGTTATAGGGGTTAGAACATCGGTTCTAGCCGGTTTCAAATTTCCGCATGGCCTTGCCACTTTTCTCCCTCATAGGGAGGAGAAGGCGTGTCGAGCTCGAGAGGTTTACCAGGCTTAGGAATGAGGACGACAGAGGCCATTCACCACTCCTGCGGCATCTGCCCCGACTCCCAAACCTGGTTGACCTCATCAGTTAGTACCTCAAGAGATCTATCGTCCAAATTTTTAAGTAACTTGTTAGTAATACCATTTGGCCCAGGAGCCTACTTCCCGTTAAGACCAAAAAGGACCGTCCCTGACCTCTGCTACGCTAAAGGGGGAGTCCAGCTCCGCCTTCTCAGCAATCTGGGTAGTCTGCCCCGTGGAAGCCTTCAGGGGCAGGTACCTATTGGCCAACTGTTGCAAGATGTGATCATCGGAGAGCCCAGCAGACCTTTCTTGTGAATGAGACGGTCAGCAGTGTGTCTCTGATTAGCTTTAGTTTGCCTATCTCCTAGGAGATGCTTGAGAATGTTCCACTTAGCCCCTGATCGCATCTGCCCGTCAACAGCATTACAGACCTCATCCCATTGTTGTCTGGCTAGGGTATGGCTGTATGATTCAATCTCTTTATTGAGTAAAGCAATTTTCCTTCTGAGCCGCCTGTTGAGTCACTAGCCTAGCTAGGCAACTGTCCATGCGATCCGTTTTAATATCCATGAGCACCACCTTAGTGACAGTTTTAATGTCTGCCTTAAGCTGCTCGAATAGCTGGCCAAGGTCATCGTTGTTATTTTCATTCCACTTTCGAATTTCTCGAAAGGCGCCCCAATCAACAACTTTGAAAACCCTGCGGCAGCGGTGCCTTAACCTCGAGAGAGACCGACACAATGAAATGGTCGCTCCCCAAGTTCTCATGCAAGTTCTGCCAGGAGGGGGAGCTCGACGTTCCTGACAAAAGCCAAGTCTGGCGCGGTGTCCCTCACTACAGAATTGCCCAGACGAGTGGCAAAGTTGTGATCAGTAACAAGTAACAGGCTGAGATTATTAGTATGCTGCAGAAGCGCCGTCCCCTCAGCCGGGTTACGAATATAGCCCCATCGAAATCGCCAGCTACTGTACACGGAGCCGAGCCGGCGATTTTGGAGGCTTTGCACAGAAGCGCATTGAAAGTTTCCCGAGTGTCTGATGGTGAGCTATAAACGTTCAGTATGAAGAGGTGCTCTTTAAGCCGAGAGTTTGGAATTAACTAAATAAATAGAGTTTGGAATTAACTAAATAAATATGTGTTCTTACCTTTAAATCCAGATGTACATTGCAAACCTCAAAAGAGAACTCTTTGGAAACAAGAGTGGTGACCCCTCCTTTTCCTTCCCCCCAGCACGCCACGGAGCGATAACCACGGAGGGTCATTTCTGCTTTAAGGGTCTCCTGGAGCAGTATTATGGCTGGCTTATTCACCTGCGAGCTAATGAACTGCTGCAAGACTGCCTTCTTCCTGAGGTAGGTCATGCAATTCTATTGCCAAATCTGTAACTCCTTATTTTCCTGCGCCATGATTTCTACTTCCACCACTTCCACCCTTGTAGAGAGGGTCTGGATGACAGAGATCACACCAACGATGGCATCCTTAATTTCAGCGGACCACTCCTGTAATTTCCTTGTTTAAAGTCGCTGAGCTCCTTCTCGAAATCTACCGGAGAGTCAGCGGCCTTTCTCTTATTGCCTCTAGGTTGCGCATCTGCCTGCTGAACATTCACTGCCGCGTCCACCATGCGTTCACGCTGTCTAAGCTCCTCAACTAGAGCTTTAATCTCCTGAAGCTCACTCCTCAGAGTTGCCTTCTCACGCTCTATCTGCAGTATCCTAGCGGCATCTTGCAATGGCAGCTGGCGCTGCACGATAGTGCGAGACTCACGTTGGTGACCCACTCGATCAGCCCAGGTAGGTCCATGCTGAATCCGGACACAGGAGGCCGACTGACTCCTCGAGCGAGAGTGGTGACCCGCACCCCACCCAGGGGTACCAGATTCAACCCCCTGGTTGAACCAAGACCCGTCTGCTTGCTGTGGCACGAACTCCCCAAGCTGCTTGTTTGCTCTTCTACGCCAAATGATGTAAGGGACCTGGTACCTGCTTTTGCAGGCCCGATCCGCCGTCGGATGTGCTCCTCCACAGATGGAGCACGTTGGCTGGCAGGTGTGATTTTCAGGTGATAAGACCCCCCCAGTTCCGGCAGCTGATAACGGTAGGAGTAGGACTAACATCCGAGCGATTGCCCAACTTACCGCAGGTTCGACAGGCGTCAATCTGTCGTCGGTAGACGGTGCGCCGAATCAAGGTTGTCCCACACATAGCGCAGTTTGGAACTTTCATTCTGTCAAACAGGATTATTACCGTCCGCCCTTTGCTTGATGTGCTGTACTCTAAGAACTTTCAGATTTCTTGCGTGCACGAAGAGCTCGCCAAGCCAGTCGTCAGAGAGATCAGGGTCACAAAGTTCACACTTTGTGGAGCTTTTCTCCCACCCGAATTCCCTTCACTTTAGCATAAGATTCCGTGTTCCCAGCGTGCAGCGTGCTGATCACAAAAAGTTCTGCGTTTGAATAGCACGAACAATACCCTCTTCAGCCTGCAGCGGGCCAAGACAAGCAACCATCACCAAAGCTTCGGTAACCTTCAGTCAACTGACCTTGCGCACGACCATTCCTCCTTTGGGGCGGACGACAACCCGGTAGTGATCTTTAGGCAGTCACGGCAGACGCGGCGCGGCGATGAGCTTGTTCATCGGCCCCTTCGGGTGCACTGGGCGGTTGGCACTATTGCTGGCATTAGGGCCAGGGACATGTCTCTTGCCTGGACATGTCTTCGCTGAAGACCATGTCCTCGAGCGGCATCTTCGCAGCGTCTCACTTGGCAGGTCAAGCCGAGCGCCACCGTGGCACGGGGCGAAAAACTCCAATAAAAAGGCGAAAACATGGCCTAGCCGCACAAATTGGGTATCCACTTGATCCTCGAGATGAAGTCAGACGACGCGTAGGTGCCACCTACCATGTCGTCTTAGCAAAGCGTTGAAAACACTTGCCTTTTCGTGCAAGCATTGCATCGTCTAGAATTACTTATGTATGCCTTTTCTAGTAAAAAGACACACATACAGAATATTGACGTGTTGTTATGGCGCATCAGATATGTGCAATAATTGCTTTTTAATTGACAATCGCATAAGTATGAACGCTAAATCATTGAGCAATATTGGTGGGCACTGGGGATAAGGTCGGCCATTTGTGGTGTCATTTGGTGCCATTTAAGGTATCACTTAGGGTGGACAAACAGACAAATGTACAGATAGGCAGACAGACAGCCAGACAGACCAAAATTTTTGCCTCGAAGGTTCCTATGAAAGAATCGTCTTAAAAAATTCTTCAGAATGATGTCACAATGAACAATAACAAAGGTGGCAGTGCAAGAAACCATAGGGTGCCCCACAAATAAAATTAAAAAGTATCTTCTCCTCTCCGGGCCTTTCTACATTGTTCAGCTCCTTGAATGTTTAGCTGTGACATATTCATCAGCTCGTCTGCTTTCCACTCTTCCCCCCTGCATGATCAGGAAGAGCACCAGGCCAAAATAAGAGACGAGTTGACGAACGGAGCATAAAGAAGAAAAAAGCAAAACGAGCAAACCCCTCGAAATCATCAAATGCATGCAGCTCCCTTATGGCACCATTTCGAAACATTCTCACGTCCAGCACGCCTGTTCAATACTCATGCACTATTGAAACACTACACCTAAACTTCAACCTCTCGGTCGCTTAGGGGTTCTTTAAAAGCTGCGCACTTCAGCATGGAGCTCTCGCCAAGACAATCAAACATTAAACTTCGAAGCAAGACTAATATTCAATCAAACATTAAACTTCGAAGCAAGACTAATATTTGGCAGAATTCCTGTCGCATCTTATGCCGTTTGTTTAGAAGGCACGTTGGCCACCATATTTCCTCTTCCGGCCTCGGAAAGTTCTGGCGAGTCACTTTGTCCTCGGCTTGGACATGCTTTCTTTAGTTAGGACAAAGGACGGGCTTCGCGTTCTTATCAGTGTTGGAACTTTCATTCCGTCAAACAGCATGATTACCGTCGGCCTTTGCTTGATGCGCCATACTCCAACAACTTTCCGATTTCTTGCGTGCACGAAGAGCTCGCTAAGCCAGTCGTCAGAAAGGTCAGGGTCAATACCCCGAACAACTCCCATGAACGTATCCCCGGGCGGCGTCAGCTAAGTTCACACTTCGTGGAGCTTTTCTTCCATACGAATTTGCTTCACTTTAGCGTAGGATTCCGAGTTTCCAGCGTGCGGCGTGCTGATCACAAAAATGTTCTGCGTTTCGTTATAACAAACAATATCTGCAAAACTACGGTACCACACAGCGGAGTGTACGATTAGTTTTAGCCTTTATGCTTATTCATCAATTAGACTTACTGCAAGTACGAAGGCTGTTGTTTCCAGAAACCCCGTAAATCACATGCAAGTGGCGCTCATTACACGGAAGTCAGTTTATGTGATGCATGAGGTTGCAAAACCTACAAGGTTACCATTCATGTTAAGAGGCTCACAAGATTGAGACAGAATTCATTATGCTACTATCTTTAGCATACCGGTTAGGAAACATACAAGCGATAGCTGTGGATGCAATAATTACATTCACTTTTCTTCCAAGCTTCACTGAGGTTTGATGGTTATGATATTGTGCTTCTGAAGTCGAGGGCTTGATAAAGACAGGATGCAATAACATTTAAATATCATTCTCCAGGTAACCGGTGGAGTACCCCATATATTCAGAATTTATGTGCAGCCATCGTGAACATACAGTTTCTGCACTGTGAACACAAGTTTTTTTCCTCCTTCCCCTTCCACCGAGACAATGGCAGGCTAAGGGTTTAATGTAATACAATATGCTACAAATACTTATCAAGAAAAATTTTTCAATCTTTGTTAGCTAAGCAAGTTTGAAATCATAAACACGTAAAAGAGTAGATGGACTGCGTAATTCGAAGTTTTTTAAAACTTCAATGTTTCACACATAAATCAGCTGCTGTTGCTTCCAGCATGTCGCAATGGCTAATAATTGGGAGGCTGTTTGCAGTTACAAACATTTTTTTAAACATTTTTTTAAATGATCTCACAGCATTGGCTTGAGTGCCCACTGCTTACATTCAAAACATGATGGGTACTCACATTTGGTGGCAATTTTTTTTTTTTTTTTTTTTTCAGGCTCTTGTTCTGAATTAGGGGCAAGAGGATGTTTGGCATTTAGGATTGCACTGTACTTTGGCGAAAAAGAAAAAACAAAACGGAACAAAATTCATGTACGCTCAAAGGACAAGAACATTTTTACATACGAGGTATTGCCTGTTCAGACGGTTTCCACAACAGTGTAGTGCCCCAAATTTCATACCACATTGAGAAGCCCCTATATATGGAATGACAATTCCGAAGTTTAACCTTACAATCAGACTCACTCAACTATTTTCAAGATCGTACACAAAACTAATAGAAGCCCAACCGACAACAGCGAGAGATAAAAAAAAGTAACTTCTAAGCTAGTTGTTAAAAAAAGAAAAAAGAGAGGCTGCCGTAAGAATATTCGACAGCAAACAGCATACCACACATTCTATCAGTAGCCAATACCAAACTTCTAGCATCTTCAACAGCCCCAACATTGACTATTAAACGTTTTCCTATGAGGACGTGCAGAAACATATGAACTGAAGCTAATTGTTTGCTACTGCTTTGGCACTTTCAATTCTAAATCCGTACATTTTAATTCTTAAGCGTACGAAAGGTCACCATAAATATGCCAGCGTAAGCTTCAACTGAAGTAATGGTGCACTTTAATTTACTTACTCTTTTCTTCACAGGGCCAAAGCCCCTTAGCGGACAGCGCATTGATGAAAGCGCCCGGAATGCTAATAATCGCTAAACATCAGGCGACGAAGCTAAGCGCGCCAGCACTTTACGCGATATTTTTATAACATTAGGTGGGCACCGAGCCGCAACGTTTGATCAACTTGCGCACGAATACAAGCAGCAGCAAAACAAACAAACATATACGAAAACACCGGTTACCATAAATGATAGCACTTCATAAACAAAACCGAACGTACGGGATAACAGTGCGCACAGTATACGGGAGCGGTCACTTTTCTTTGTTTTTTGAACCAGTAGTGGACCTCCTAAGGCGCATAGGCATCCAGAGGTACTGGGAAACGAAGCCTCGTGTATTTCACACGAGTTTTTATGACGAATGCACGTAACAGCGGCACAGTTTGGAGTTAGAACTAGGGAATGGATATATAAGCGGCACCAGCAAGCAAAACGATTGACCACTTGTAGCTCAACAGTGGAGTGGGCTAGTGGCGAAGGCTCGAGTCAAACCACACGAGAAGAACTTGAACACTTTTGCAGACAAATGCAACACGGCGGTAAATGGACAATCACTTTTAGTTACCTGTTTCGCAAGTGAAGCAGGCAGAGGGCTAGTCAGCTGTACATGACGGGACGATCTTCTTCAGCATCTACGCGGGCGGCGCGAAAGGGCAATCTTATTTACCTGCATGAAGTGAAGTGCACCGGAATTTCAACGCTGAAATCGACTGAAATTTCCAGTCGAGTTAAGGATAACCCCGGAGAGCGCAAGTTGCGAACGAAAAATGCGATATTCGGGTCCGTCAACTCGGCGAGAGTTAACGAGATTGCTGCAACGGGCGCTTTCGCGACGGCAAGCGCCTGAACGCGGCTACAAGGATTAGCGGGTGATTGACTGAATATCGAATTTCCAGGGTGGTGCACCTCTTTGCTTGATCGATCGACGACTTCACGCAAAATTAGCAGCTCAAAACAACTCTTGTTTCAACTCGGCGCGTACTAAAGCGAGAACCAAACTCAGCAGGCCTGGCGCATGGTTGCCTGATGTGACACGCAGGCTGTGGCTGCGTTTATCGGAACACTCCTTTCGCTTTGCAGCAGGATGCACGGTACCTGTCATGTATTTCCATACAAGTATTATAGTCTAAAACACTATGGTCACTCTTTGGTACGACACACTGTGTGACCTGCGATGCTTATAAAACAGAAGTAACGCCGGTAACGCTCAAAGTATTCATGCATCTGGGATATGCTATCCTACAAGCTAGGTCTTCAGTGCTACAAGCGCGCATAAACTTACTGCATGCGGCTATTGGTTCCGTTTTGTGCAGGCACTGGTGCCGTAGAGGGCCGACTTCGGCGCACGCTCCTGATCAGCAGGTTACATGCCCACCAAGTTAGTGGCCTCTGAATCTCACTAAAGTGAATCCCGGCCCCCGAGGAAATATCAGTGAATGAGTCACTCATTCACTGTTCTTCTATAGCTACGCAATTTAAGGAAACACACTGAATTAAAATTGCTAACTCGAGGCACATTACTACTTTCGCTTACATCTTGTCTCTGGTTTGGCCAAAAGGGAACCCCGACGCCACTGACCGACCGTACGTATGGTTACCAATAAGGAAAATAAGGAGCGGTTCGTGCTGCTCCTCCGTGTTGGCTCCACATATTGATAGCTGCCCGGAAGACACTTCCCGTAGTGCGGTCCGAAAGTTCAGGTTGAGCGTGGAGCACAAGGTCTCAGCACTCCAACCCTATGCGATGCCTAGGGCATGCATGCTCTAACTTGGTACAAATAAAGTATCGTTATTGTTGCTTTTGTTTAACTTCTGCAGTCCTGCGGAGCTGAAGAAAGTGCTGCACGCGGTCCTCTTGTGTCAATGTCTACACCAGTCTACACATGAAAAACGAGCAACCATGGTCATCACACTCTGCTGACAGCTGCTAGGGGCAAGAAGTGCAAATTGAGAATCTTCTAAATCTTCTATGAGGGTACCGTTTGTTTCGATCTACTTTGCTTCTCACCCACGAGAAAGAACAGCACTGAGCAGATTGCTTGGGGGTGGGAGAGGGAGTATATGAAAGAAGAGAACAAAGGCAAAGCCCCCTTCTCGAAAAATGGATTCCCGCAACCATAGGAGTCCGGACGGGAGGGGGGGGGAGACAGAGGGGGGGGCGCAAACTCAGAGTGAGGGGTGCTGTGACTTGGAGAAATGCAAAGTTTGTGCTTAGAATATTGTAAATACCCATACATTGACCTATATGATTTAGGAGGGGGGCGCTGCGACTAACCTTACCCCATGAAGGGGAACTCTAGTATATCAATACCCGGAACGCCAATTCTTAGCGGGATGCCATGCTATATCTCCACCTAGCTTCTCCAGGTCGAGTGCTCTCCTCGCAGTGGGCGTCGAGAAACTGGTCGCAAGAAAAGCGTAGCCAGTTTTTTTTTTTGGGGGGGGGGGGGGGGGAGAGGTTAACAAAACTTTAATACTGTAGCTTTATATGTTACGGGGAATAAGTATACACTGGTGAGCAAATTCGTACTGGCGAATATACTGGCGAGCTAATGCGTACGACGCTGCTGCAGTCCGAGCACGTTCCCGTTCAGCACTTCGTCGTCGTCATCCTCAGGCATCTACTTAGCCCGTGACATTACCCGCCGGCGGCAGAAGCACCGTCCCGGTGCGATCAATTCTCGTGGCGTGAGAAGTATGGCTTCAGCCGTGAGACGTGCACTGTATCGGTCGGGACTGAAGCTGGTACTGACGTGGTATGGAGTGGAGCTATCTCATAGGTCACGCTGGTGACCTTGCGCATGACGCGGTAGGGGCCAACGTAACGGGACATTAGTTTTTCGCTCAGACCAACACGACGTGATGGTAACCACAGCAAGACGAGTGATCCCGGAGAGTACTGTACGTCGAGGTGCCGGCGATCGTAAGCACTCTTTTGGTTAAGCTGCGAGGCACATAAACGATCCCGGGCGACTTGGCGGGCGATGTCAGCTCGGGCCAGGGCATCACGAGCATAAGCAGTCGATGAGGGGGCGTCAGATTGGAGCATGGTGTCCATGGGCAAAGGCGGGTCATAACCGAACAGTAGGTAAAAAGGGGAAAATCCAGCTGTATCATGACGTGAACTATTGTATGCGAAGGTAACGAAAGGTAAGTGGATGTCCCAATCTTTGTGATCCTTGGAGACGTACATCGCTAACATATTCGTCAAGGTACGGTTGAGGCGTTCCGTGAGGCCGTTGGTTTGCGGATGGTACGCTGTAGTGAACTTGTGGTGGGTAGAGTAGGATCGCAGGAGCTCGTCGACTACTTTAGATAGAAAACAGCTGCCGCGATCGGTGATAAACTGACGAGGAGCACCATGACGCAGAATGATGTCATGAAGAAGGAAATCGGCTACATCAGTAGCGCAGCTGGTGGGGAGGGCGCGTGTAACGGCATACCGCGTTGCGTAGTCGGTAGCAATAGCAATCCACTTATTACCGGTGGCCGACACGGGAAAGGGTCCTAGAAGATCGAGGCCGACTCGGGAAAATGGCTCTTCTGGTACTTCAATGGGCTGGAGGGTACCAGCAGGTCTCAGAGCAGGTGTCTTGCGGCGCTGGCAGAGGTCGCATGCCGCAACGTACTGTCGCACAGAACGGTAGAGGCCAGGCCAAAAGAATCGGCGGCGAATGCGGTCATACGTGCGTGGCACCCCTAGGTGTCCAGCGGAGGGGGCATCATGCAGCTGGGCCAAAACGTCTGAGCGAAGATGCACAGGAACAACGAGTAAAAACTCAGCACCATCAGGGCGGGTGTTGTAGCGGTGCAAGATGTCGTTGTGAAGAACGAACAGTTGTAAGGAGTGGTCAGGGTGGGGAGAGTGCAGACCATTGATAATAGCACGCAAAGAGGGGTCGCGGCGTTGTTCAGCAGCTATGTCGGTGAAGTCGGTAATTGAAAGAACGAGGGCCTCTTGCTCATCTTCCCTCGTGTCAGGAGGATCGACTGGGTAACGGGACAAGCAGCAAGCATCCTTGTGAAGTTGTCCGGATTTATAGGATACGGAAAAAGTGTACTCTTGTAAGCGCAGCGACCAAGGCGTCCCGGAATTTCGCAATGGCCCAGACGAGAGCTAAGCACTCGCGTTCTGTGATGGAATAATTTTGTTCCGAGTGCGACAACAGTCGGCTTGCATACGCGACGACGCGGTGCATGCCTTGTTGCCGCTGCGCGAGCACTGCGCCTATGCCGTGGCCACTGGCGTCAGTACGAAGCTCCGTGGCGGCAGATGGGTTGAAGTGTGCTAGGACTGGTGGATTGGTGAGAATTTCAACGAGCGACGAGAAGGCGTTTGCTTGCTGTTGGCCCCAGGTGAATGCGACATCCGTTTTGAGGAGGCAGGTTAGAGGACGGGCTGCTTCAGCAAACTTCTCGACAAAACGACGGAAATAGGAGCACAGTCCCAGAAAACTTCGGACGTCCTTGGCTGAGCGGGGTGTGGGGAAGTCGCGAACTGCTCGGACTTTCGCAGGGTCTGGTTGAACGCCCGCAGCGTTAACAAGATGGCCGAGTACGCAGATTTGGCGTTGCCCAAAGCGGCATTTGGACGAGTTAAGTTGCAAGTTGGCACGTCGAAAAACATCAAGCACTGCGGACAGACGGGTGAGATGGTCGTCGAAAGTAGTCGAAAAAACAATAACGTCGTCAAGATAGCAGAGGCAGATGGTCCACTTCATGCCTCGAAGGAGAGAGTCCATCATGCGCTCAAATGTCGCGGGGGCTTTGCATAATCCAAAAGGCATCATCTTGAACTGATAAAGTCCATCAGGAGTCACGAAGGCCGTCTTCTCTCTGTCTTTGTCGTCCACTGCGATCTACCAGTAGCCTGAGCGAAGGTCTATTGAAGAGAAATATTTGGCACCGTGCAAGCAATCGAGTGCATCATCTATGCGCGGTAGGGGATAGACATCTTTCTTGGTAATATGGTTGAGATGGCGGTAATCAACACAGAATCTCCAGCTATTGTCCTTCTTTTTAACAAGTACAACGGGTGAGGACCAGGGACTAGATGAAGGTTCGATTATGCCCTTATCAAGCATTTTATCTACTTCTCGCTGTATAATAGCACGCTCCGGGGCTGACACACGGTAGGGTCGTCGGCGAATGGGTCGAGCGTCACCGGTGTCGATGCGATGGGTTACCACAGATGTCTGGCCCAAATTACGGTCGCCGAAGTCAAAGATGTCCTGATAAGAAGCAAGCACACGGCAGAAAGCAGAGACTTGTTCAGAGGTGAGCGTGTCAGATAGCATTGGCTTGAAAAGGTCGGAACAGGAACGTGACGAGAACGACGTTGATGAAAAATCGGGTGGCGAATCGGTGGTTAGAGCCGAAACTGTGTGGTCGACCAGTGGTGTAAGATGCGCAAGTGACATGCCGCGAGGAATAACTTGCGCTGAGAGGCCGAAATTGAGTACGGGAAACGAAGTTCGGTTGTCCTTAACGGTAACCACCGTGTTGGGGAGTGCAACGTTGCGTGTCATGGCGACGTCAGAAATTGGGGCAGCAACATAATCACCATCGGGTACTGCAGGATATGGCGAGAGTTGGACTTGGACTGTGGCTTGCAGCGGAAGTCTGAGGAAATCGATAGAGCGTAGACGAGGTGGGCTAGTGGAGACGGTTTCCGAAAAGGATGGTAGTTCGAGCCGAAGAAGACCTTTGGAACAGTCAATGAGCGCAGCGTGTGAAGTCAGAAAGTCGAGTCCAAGGATGAGGTCATGAGGGCAATTTTCCAGTACAGCGAACAGAACTGAAGTTTGATGCTCAGAAATTGTTAATCGCGCAGTGCACATTCCAAGCACAGCAGGAGTACTCCCATCCGCTGTACGAACGGTAGGTGCAATCGCAGGCGTCAGAACTTTTTGGAGGCGGCGGCGGAGGTCTGAGCTCATCACAGATATTTGTGCACCGGTATCAATAAGAGCAGTTATAGGTAATCCATCAACGAGAATTGTAAGGAGGTTGCACC